GAAGGGTTCTACTCCATAGAGAGAGAGAGAGGGGGAAACAGAATACAGAGTAGTCATACTCATAAAGATGAGGAAAATCTGCTCTGGGATGATGATTTCCACTCCTATGACGATCTCCAAGCTTGATTTGATGAAACCCAGCTCCAAGATAGTTTCTAGGATGTGTTCTTCGTACTTTCTCTCTCTAGGGCTCTGTTTTTGCTCTGAAAACTCGATTTTTTCACTTGCAACCCAAAATTGGGTAAAAACCAGAAATTCCCGACTCACACGGGCAGGGCCACACGGCCGTGTGGCATACCCAGTTGCCCGTGTGAGGTCAAAACGCCGCGTTCCGAATAATTGGATTTCAGGCTTCTTACACGGCCAGGGTCACACGGCCGTGTAGCTCACCCAGCCTGGCCGTGTGAAGCCTCACAGAATTCCACACGGCCAAAGTGCAACTTCACACGGCCGTGTGACTATCAGGGCTGGCCGTGTGAAGGCTCGCACAATCCCACACGGCCAAATTGGTCACTTGCACGGCTGTGTGGCTTCTGTGTGTTCCCGTGTGGCTTCCTTTTTAACTTGCCTCACGTCGATCTTCGTCCAATCGACCCCGAACTCGCTCCTAAACCTTCATTCACTTGCTAGGACCTGAAATATCACAAACAAACACAACCTAGCGTGAAATCAGCCTAAAAAACGAGAATTACCATCTCAAACGGCTCCAGAATAGGGGTAGAAACATGTGCAATTAACGGCTTATCAATTTTCCTATCTAAATCACCATTCACAGAAACATGTTTAACAATCCATCTGACGCACAACACTAGCAATCAGAACATACATGGATGTTATTCTACATATGGTGAATAGATAACAAGAAAATTTACAATTTTTCCTTTTCGCTTAAAGCCTTAGCTATTAGGCGATCCTTATACTCATAAACTAAACCAATAGGTTTCACTTTTCTTTTAAGAATCCATTTATTACCCATGACTTCATTGCCAAGAGGTAATTCTCAAAGATGCCAAATCTTGTTCGATTCTATCGATATATTACCCAATGCTTTTCAACCAAGAGGTAACTCTACAAGATTTTAAGTCTTATTAGACTCCAATAATTCCATTTCGTTAATAATGGATTCTCCCACAATTCTGCATCTTTATGGAAGTTTGAACTTCTAGCAGACTTGTAGGATCTTTCTTTCTTATGGTGTAAATAACAAATTCATAACCAAAATCCTTTCGTGATTTATGGTTCATTTGTCCCTTCTGAGTTCATACTCAGATTCATCACCCCCACTAGTTATCCATTATTTCTAATAGTAGGCAGGATATCACCCCCACTATTTCGTAATATAAATGGAATCTATTGATATCAATGGTTTTCACAAACTAATGAGTATTTCGTTTCATAGGCTTATGTGTTTTACAATAACTTACACACTCATATGCTCTTCTAGTTATCATGTCACTGATTCTCTAACGCTACCACATGCATGCCACATATCGAATAATTAGTGCAATCATAATGCAACTAGGCATTTCAAACTATTTCGAATAACTAGTTAGACAATCAGAGCACTCTAAATAGCAATAAATTATTTATTGTCTTTCCATCAAGTTTACCTATATCAACATAAATCAAATCTACTGATTCTGATTCTCTAACCACATATTTTATGGGCCATTTTGCTTGGATACAATTTTTTTTATTTATCTCAAGAATGTGACTTTAGATATTCTAATTCGAGAATAATATGGGAATGTGACTTTAGATATTCTAATTCTTTACAAGGACACACACGTCCCAAAAAAGAATCCATCTTAGATCGTCTATCACAGACATGCCTTGAGGCGCTAGTATCCAACAACCATTCTCCAGAGTTACCATTAAGGCTAACATCTGTCATCGCCTAAGCGATTATTATTGCCAAATCCTCTTCTTTAATCAAGTTAACACAATACTATGTTAAACTTGCTCTAACACTTTCGTGTCATATGACCTAGTTTTTCTCAAATTTAATTGAGAAACATAGCGTCATTCTTAGAGAATTGTGTGACAATCTTATGGTTACCACGATGGGTACCATTCTAATTGGTGTGGATCTAGTTCAGCTTGCTGCTCTCATTCTTGAAACTTTAATGTTTCACAGCAACCTAAGTGGTTCATGTAGTACTGATAATAGTACTTCTTATAATATCGTTATTATGGGCAATAAACCCATTCTATTCCCATATATTCTTCACATATATGCATGCATTTAAACAAAATCATTATACTCCACAACACGTATTCAATTTCTAATCATCGAGGTAATAAATCTCAATGTCAACATGCATCAATTCCAGATTTTCATTTCTAGCATTCATAATGATTCTCAATTCCATGCATATGGTAGATTCTAATTTGTCATTAATAAATGACTCATAAGTAAGGTTTCGGTTCTTACCTCTTTTCAAAAAGTCATTGCATTAGTAGCGAACAGCTAGCACCCGACATTGTTTTCTTAGTTCTTGATAAATTTGCTGGCAGAGGCAGCTTTGACAATTGTCTATTTGGAGACCTAGTTCTCCTCGTCCTCATCGTGCTCCACTCCACAGCGCTTTCAAAAGTTAGCACTTAACAGTTAACATCATCACAATATCAATGCGAGCCCTATAGCTTGCCTTTCGACCTTTTAGGCTGAATGAATCATATGCCCTGGGTCTGCTTCCTTGCATCTCTGAGTTTCACCCTTTCATTAGTGGACTCTCCTTCATGCTAGCGATGTTGTCCGCTCCACGTTTTCACTCTCAGCCTTGAGGCAACTAATGGACCCAAGAAAAATTCCTGTCTGCGTGACAAAATTAATTAACCACTACAAATGAAGGAAACATGAGTGTTTGATCATCAGAAACCTCCCACTTGTATAAGTAAATTAACCACTTGAATTAACTAACCACTCCATATGGGACACTGAAGCTTCCAGCAATGTGAAGCCAATTTCGGCCCAAGGCTATAGCAATGGAAGGTGCCAGTTCCAGCATTTTGAAAGAGCAGCACACTCACGAGCTGGATCCACCATCCCGATGCGGATATCCTCTATCCTTCCCCTTGACCTCAAAATCTCGCCAAGAATGAAAAGAAAGGTCCGTTTAAATTGTGGTTGAAACAGATAATCAACAAAATAAATAAATACACAAAAATTAAGAATATCACTTCTTTCTTTCTAGTGTTTCCACCGTATGGGCTACCTCCAAGAGACTCTAGGTTAAATAACAAATCTGAATCGAAGGCAGAAAACTCAGCTTGGAGAAGCGGTATTTGTAAATTGCTCCGATTCTGGGCCGGCTTAAAGCAGAAGCTTAATCCCCTGTGATGTGCTTGTCGTGGCCTCCAACGTCCTCGTCTTTCCTCGAATTTCCGATCTGGCTGTCTTTGTCGGAGGGTCAGGCAGCTCAATTAGCTAGGGCCTTTCTTCTATTAATTTGGCCCAGGATGAAATTCAGGTCACGATAGACGAAGCAACTTGAGTGGCCCTTGCTTTAAGTCCCCACTCAACCATAAATCGTCGGTGTTCTCTCATGGCTTTCCGACGCCATGACGGCTTTCTTTCCGCAACACGTATAGCAATCGTTTAAACCAGAATCAGTATCCTGTTCGATGGATATGACAGCAACCAAACGTCTTAAAATTGTTAGAAACCGAACAGAAAATTTAGGGTTACCGATCTGGCTGAGTCGCGGACTAGGTCGCTCTCTTTAAGACGTTCGCGGCACTGCCTCGTTATTCGCACAGCAGACTATCAGCCGGTCGCCTCCAGGATAAAACAGTCATTCTAATTTTATTGCTCATCGATTTTGTGCGAAAACCGGAGCTCTATGAATTCACTCTCTCTCTCGTGTTTCTGCTCTTTTGAGATGTGTTTAGAGGGTCTGGGGGTTCTGCTATTTATAGGAGCAGAAAACCCAGAATATTCCCTCTTTCTTTGGGAATAAGTCACATTTTAATTAGGGAGATAATTACTCCCATAATTAAAATATAATCTATTAAGAAAATTATTCCTAATTATCTCCATAATATTCCTTTTATTAATTATCCATCTTAATTTCGTATTATGGGAAAAATACTGGATAATTAATTAGGAATTTCATTATAGCTTTTCAAATCTCTTCATCCCAACAAGATTGAGTTTTAGCATCCTTGAATTCGTGACTGACACTGTTAGTAGTAGAAACCACTAGGTATATTACATTACTAAAGAATTCATCTTTTAGTTAAATTGCATTCTATGCATTAATCGTGTTTTGTTTGAGCTAAATTTGTGAGTTAGGTTCAAAGTTATCAGAAGACAGGTATAAAGTCTCGCGCTCGACGCAACCAACACGATATTGTCTTCTCAAATAAGGAGAGTGCATTAGGTCATAGCTGCTCGAAGATTCAAACTAATAACCACAATTTAGACTAATGGTTATGCTCAACCCTTCAACCTTAAGAATATTAACAAATGGACCTATATTCCTTATACAAAATATTCCAATGATGAGTATTATTCTTCCACTCTTCCTTCGACAAACTAGGACTCTTTGATAGTGGTTCCGCTTTAATCCAGTGCCCATAGACGTCTTTATTAGCACTACATTTAACTTTGCCAACCATGAATATACAGAAAAATTGGTTAATACTTTATAATTTTTAAGGTAAACATTAAATCATTTCTAACTCTGCTTATCCATTTTTCAACACTTAAAGTATCCAATTAATTTCTCAAATTTCAAGCTTATCTTCTCCTTTCTCACAACGCCTTCAGTCGTAATTCAGAATTTTTTATATGAATGATTTGTCATTATTATATTCTTCAGATTATTTTGCAGTGAAGAAAAAGGAAGTAAGTGATTTTTTAGGCCAAGGAAAGAAAACTAATGATGACTTTACCAAAGTAAATATAACTGGTTTGTATATAAATTGCGGTCCTTTTTCCCTCAATAATCCCCAAAAGAAAATCATAAAATTAGTTGCGAGGAAAGAGGAACAACATGTGGTCATTCAAATTTTTACTGCACATTCTTACATTCGAAATCTTTCTTTTGTCTAATGTGAATCTAATCTGCAACGCCTCCACCAATGGCGACAGAAAAGTCAGTGCCAAAAGTGTTTCAGTCATTGAGGATTCTTTTTTGTTTTTTGATCATTACTATTTTTCTTGCCGATCCTAAAGAAATTATTATGATTAATTCACAGGTTTATATCGTGTACATGGGCGCATTGCCTAAGAATGATGACCAATATACTCCCTCGTCTCACCATCTCTCCCTACTGCAAGAGGTTGTCGATGACAGGTAGAGATTTTCCCAACATCTCAAATCATTGTAATAATTAGCAAAAACTTTAATACGCATATATGCATAAAAATCCAATTTTTTCGGTTAACGTGCTAATGTTGCATCTCGTACGGAATAAACTATATCTTACGGGATTAAGGTATTGATTTTTATATTTTATTTTAAATCATAAAAAATTAACTCTTGTTGGGTAAAATAATGTACAAAATCTCTTATTTATTTAATACCTTAACCCCCCTATCGTATATTACCAACTACCTTATCATTTTTTCATCCGTAGATCGGAAATTCATATAATGGGCTATAATCATTTTCATTTGAACAGCCAATTAGGGTTGGCAGGATTATTGATCAGGAGTTACAAAAGAAGTTTCAATGGATTTGCGGCAAAACTAACCGATGATGAGGCCCAAAAGATTTCAAGTATGTGAATTAATTTGTCTTCTTTCATACACAAACGCCTTTATAATCATTCTTTTGCCAAAAATATGTATAGAAACATCTATTTTGATTTTGATTTTGCAGGCAGAAAAGACGTCGTCTCTGTTTTCCCGAGCAAGAAGTTGCAGCTCCAGACCACGAGATCATGGGATTTCTTAGGCCTTCCTCAACCCACAATGATTAAGAACCCTGCGGGCATTGCCAATGATGTTGTGGTCGGAATTATAGATAGTGGAATATGGCCGGAACTACCCAGTTTCGACGACCGTGGTTTTGGTCCTCCACCGGCGAAATGGAAGGGTGTTTGCAGAGGCGGAACCAATTTCACCTGTAACAAGTAAATATTCATTTTACTTATCACTCCTTTCCTTTTCTCTTCACGCATTTACCATTAGGACTTTGAGTCTTATAACCTGTTTTGAATTCATATATGTTAAAAATCTAATTGGCATTTCTTTTTTTTATGATTTGAGTGAGAATTTTTTTTTTATGTTACCTAAAACTTAAGAATTTAAAATTCCATGGAAATTGGTACATGAGTTGGGTTACTAGAAAAGAAATTATATGTCCCACCAAAATTTATTGATTTACTATCTTCTTTCTCATTCATATTTTGTTTCCCAATATAAGAAAATATATTTAATGAATATTTATTATTTAAAAATACCAATATATTCCCATATTTATGGCTATTCTTTAAAACTCAATAATAAAAAATATTTATATAGAAAAAGATCTAAAAATATTTTTCATTTTTCATTTTTCGTGTGAAGAGATATCCAAACACATCCCTACCGCTTACTATTGTGGCAATATAAGCCTGCGTTCACACCTATATTTTGGATTTTTGATAATTTCGACAAATCATAATCGTTGATTTTCATTTTGAGATTAAACGAATTTTATGGTTTGGGTCACAAAAGTGGGGATTGAGGTTCACTCATTAGAGATTAGGGTATAGTATTATAACCCCAAACTCCTATTAATTTATGGTCTATATAACAAAAGTCAACAAATGTACGATAAAATAAGCGTGCAGTCTGGCGTACGCTAGTCTTAACCTACTATTGTGTGTGTTTGGCTCGATTTTTCAATGAGGTTTCCTACTCCAACCACATTAGTTAGACCAAACATGTCTGTATGTCAAACTTTTGAATAACTAGCAAATTTTGTAACAAGTTTCAATTTGTAGTCTCTATGGAAAGCTGATATAAGAGTATGATATTTGTACATATTTTTCTAAGAAAATATAACTTTCACTACACTCAATTATATAAACTTTTAATTAAAATTAATTAGATGGTAGTATGATTTAATGTAAAAGAAATCTAACCACATTCTTTTTTACCTTCCTCACAACTATTGTACTTTTGATATTGAACCCTAAATTCGTTACAGTAAGATCATCGGCGCCCGATACTACTCTTCCCAATCGGCAAGAGACGACCAAGGTCACGGGACCCACACGACGTCGACGGCAGCAGGAAACGTGTTGAAGGACGTCAGCTTCTATGGGCTGGCAAGCGGCGTCGCCAGAGGCGGACTTCCCTCCGCTCGAATCGCCGTCTACCAGGTGTGCGACGACCTCGGCTGTTCGTCGGCGGACATTCTGGCCGCCTTCGACGATGCAATAGCAGACGGCGTCGACGTTATCTCCGTATCGATCGGGACGCTTGAGGCCGTTGATATAGACGTCGACACCGTCGCAATCGGCGGTTTTCACGCGGCGCGCCGAGGAATCCTCACCGTACATTCTGCCGGGAACAGCGCCCCCAATCTGCCACCACTTGCAGCGTAGCTCCGTGGTTGCTCTCTGTCGCCGCCAGCACCATCGACCGAAAATTCGAGTCCAAAGTTGTTCTCGGTAACAGGAAGATATTCACGGTATGGAATTTTTTAGAGCCAAATTGAAGCTAATTTTCGTCATGTGTTTGCCCTACTTCACCCTTTTGGATTTGGGGGAATGCCGTACAGGGGATTTCTGTGAATGCATTCGCGGGGAATGGGCTGGAGTCGCCATTGATACATGGAGATCCATCAATTGGTTGCCCAGGGTGGGTGAACCCTCAGACGCCCTCCATCTCCATTTTCTCTAGCTAGCTTGCTGCTTTATTTGACAACGATGGAGGAAGATATTGTGCGTTGTTTTCTAAATTACTGTATCAATTTGTTTGACTAGAGCTTGTGGGAACAAAATTGTGATATGCGATTCCATCGAAGAAAAGGAGCTGGCTTTTGAAGCCGGCGCCAAGGGAGTTATATACCCTTACAACACTCCCGATGCCGCCTCTGTTGTCGCCTTGCCTGCCGCCGGGGTGGATTTCCAAACCCTTGACGCCGTCATCTCATATCAGAACTCTACCAAGTATATTCATACATATATAGATGTGCTTGTTGAGCTAGTTCTACTTCATTATGAAGCCATAATTGGATTAAGCTAACTTATGTGTGGTCGTTTTTTTTTTTTAGAAATCCAGTGGCGAAGATACTAAAAAGCGACACTGTGAGAGATCCAGGAGCGCCATTGGTGGCTTCCTTTTCCTCCAGAGGTCCGAATTCGATCATCTCTGGTATTCTCAAGGTATGGACATAACCCATGTATGTCGACATCATGATTCAACATTTCAATTACATGGTCCAAGAGTCTCTTTTTATGTTTGTGATCTTTGGATTAATGCTTTCCCAGCCGGATGTGAGTGCTCCTGGGGTGGATATCTTGGCTGGGTTTTCTCCGGTGGCATCATTATCTGATAATCCCTATGACAAAAGACGATACAATTTCAATGTGTTATCCGGAACTTCTATGGCCTGCCCACATGTCACCGGCGTAGTTGCTTACCTCAAAACCATGCACCCCGATTGGTCTCCTTCCGCTCTCAAATCCGCCATCCTCACCACCGGTAAGTATTCGAATTGCATTTTGTTCCACCTCCTGATTTTTCAAACAGGGGAAACTGCAAACCTGATCTATCTTGTCTCTACAGCGACACCAATGCATCCGGGGAATGTTCAAGATCCAACCCTTACATACGTATCCACAGAATTCGCTTATGGGTCTGGGCAGCTGAATCCTGTGAAGGCCACAAATCCAGGACTTGTCTATGAAACATCAGCACAAGACGACATCAACTTGCTCTGCAATTTGGGCTACGATACCGCCAGAATCAGATCCGTCACAGGTGACAAAAACAGCACTTGCCTTGCTCGAGCTGACCCAGCTGCTATAAAGGACTTCAACTACCCTTCCATAACCGCTGATGTTTCGCGTACGAGGGCTGCTTTCCAAATTGCATTTCTAAGAACGGTGACGAACGTGGGAACAGCGACGTCGACGTACACATCCCAAATTCTGCCGACCATGGGAAGACTGAAGATTGAAGTGACGCCGCCGGTTCTTTCTTTTGGGTCCTTGAATGAGAAGAAGTCTTTCACCGTGACTGTATCGGGAGGTAAAGCTCCGGCGGATGGGTTTTTGGCCTCCGCTTCACTGATTTGGGGAGATGGGGTTCATAGTGTTAGAAGCCCAATTGTTATTTACACATAATAATGATCCTTCATAATTTTCCATCGCGTCTTCATCTGAATATGAAGAGAATTAGGCTTGGCAACATGACGGATTGGGGTCGGGGAGGGCCTATCCTCCACCCGCCCGAAAGCATGACGGGCTTTCCCCGAATTCGACCCCACTAGCCCTGTTGGGCTCATTTTCAAACCCAAACCCGAATCCATCAGGTAACGGGCTACAATCGGGATTAATAAGTTTACCCGCAACCACTGTCAGCCTAAAAAAACAAAAAACCCATACAAAGAATGCGGCCTGGAAATTACTTAGAGAAAAATCAAATGACATGACTCCAATTCCAATTTCTAAAATTCAAATTGTCTAAACAAATCAAAAAGGATCAAGACAGCCAAATGATGCATAGTTGCATACAATCCCATTTCCAAATCCGAATATCCAATTGAAACAAACAATTTCCTAAAATTCCATCCAAGCAATGAAACAAAGTAGAAAACCACCAGTCCACCAAAAACATAAAGAAAAACATAAAGGAAATGAGCCATCAAGGCATCAAGGTCGCCTTCATTCTTTAGGGTATCACCATTCACCATCAAGCTCAACATTCAACAGCAGCAACTCTCCAGTATGCAGTAGTAGCAACAACAAGCTGGATGCAACAGCAACTCTCTAGCAGACAGCAACAACAAGCACTCAGCAACAGCCACATGCTTGATCTTCAAGCATCAAAGTCCAGGAGTGCACGATCTTGAAAATCTGTGAAATCCTACAAATTATTAGCAGATAGCAGCAATCACTATCTTGAAATTACTGAGCTAATAGTTCAGTACTCACTAACCTCATTTCTTAAAGTTTTCACAACTTGGATCCTCCATTGTCAACGCGGAGAAGCAGCTTTCCAAACCGTTAATCCCATCATTTCCAGCATCTGCAGACAAAAGAAAGGAGAATTGAGTTAGTTAATTTCACAATGTAGTTGAACCACAAACAGAGTTGGAAACAATTAAATAAATTTCACAATGTAGGTACGGGTGCACACGATTACCTCAACCGTTTCAAAGTGCACCCTAGTCCGGTGAGGATCTAGCAGCCTACCACCAGATATGAAGGCTGACTCCGAGGCCACAGAAGTCACTGGTACAACAAGAAAATCTCTTTCTACCTCTTGCAACAGAGGGTATTGCCCGTGTCCCTCCATCAATTGGGCTTTGGCCCAATTACTTGTTGTGGAAGAAACATGGATCCAATTCCTCCCGCCATTTCCTGCTTCGGAAGTTCCAGTGCTGCCATTTTATCTATCTTTTCACCTAAACACACACCAAAACTCCAACACAAAATGGTAATGGCTTTTCAACCATTACGGATTAATTCTCCCTAAAATAGCACCAATCGGCTTAAACATACCATGAGATAGTCACATAAAGCTCACGAATTCGATAAATTAAAGCCGATTATCACAACCCCACACTCAATTGTTGCTTGTCCCTAAGCAACGACCCGGACAAGAGAACGATAATTGGAGAAACACAACACAGAACAGGGAGACACAACCTAGCTCAAGACACACACCCACGACACACAAAACACTATGTTAACACCAAATATTTATCCTTGTACTCCTGTGATAATCAGAAGCTTCTTTCTCAATGGATGAGTTGTGCTTTAATGATCATACCTTTCACCCCACACTCAAGGTCTTGCAACCCTTTAACATTGACTGACTCAAATCCATCAAAAACTCACATAGCAACACTCAATTCCGATCGTCGGTAGTGGGTGATTAACAACTTATGTTGCAACAATTATTAGGAGAATCTAACCACATAAGTGAGGTACATATCTCGTGAGGACAATCTGGCTTACTCACACCAATCATAAGCAATTAACAAAGCATGAGTCTCAAAAACTAATGGGGGAAGCCTTTGGCAAACACGATTTTAACTTTAAGCACTTCACCACCTTTTATGACAAGGAGAGGCTTTCTCTCTTTCTTGTTTTGCTTGCCTAGAGGTTGTATATAGTACAAGTGGGATTTGTTTCTTACTACCGGTGACCGAGCAAGAGCAATTTCTGCTGCTTAGCACTCGCATAAGGGCTTCTTTTAACTCCTTTTCCTCGGTCCGTGTGGAGGGTCATTGCACATCCTCTAATGACACTTCACTCAACGGGGAATCGTACTTGATAAGCAACATCGTACGGTCGCGAACCGATTCTCAATTGAATCTTTCCTCATCCCCATGTGCAATGAGTGATTGCCTCACACGATTTTGGCATTTTTACCCACACTTTAATTGTTATGGCAACTTTCTTATATTTTACTTGTCAGGTAGTGTTTTCTCATTTATAAAGATACAGTTCACCCCATCATAAAACAATCAAAACAGAGAGACTCGTTGCAAAATTAAAAGCTCACAATTGATGCAAGTAAGCACGGTATCCAAACACGTCGAATGGTCAATGTTCTCCACCTAACTACTTCACCAAAAGTCATTACACTATCCTCACAATAATAGAGTGTTGCTAAAAGAGTTTGCTCATTCGAAGCATATCAAGTCAATCAAAACATTCAAGCTCATTGTGAAAAACTTTGCAATTCAACACTAGTGGGGTGATTTTGATGATTTCCTTCAAGCACAAACTCATTTCACATGCATCACAGTCATTTACATCATGTTACCACAAGAGTACAAGGTTTTGTTTTTAATTTTTCTGATTTTTAGGTGTTTTTTGGCCATTAGCTTTGCACAGGCAGACTGCACTAACATAGGCAAACTGCATGCAGTTTGGCTGTGCTCAACCTAGTGGCAATTATTTTTTTGTTTTTTTTTACACACGCAATAGGGACAAACAAACACTAAGACTCACCACCCCACACTCAGGATGGAACATTGTCCCTAATGTTCAACTCCTAATCTAAACATGCACGAGTTTGACACAACAAAAAAGAAAACTTACCTTGGGTTGCCTCCCAAGAAGCGCTTGTTTAACGTCCTCAGCCTGACGTTCATGGAGCTTTCAACCAATGGGTATGGAAAGGTATCCAGAATACCCTCCCGAGCAATGATAGAACGCATAACCTCCATCCAACATATGAGTCACCTCTGCAGGGGCAGGTGTGCGAAAATTTGGTATGACCTTCTTAGTTGGCATGTTGGATTCTTTAGTGAGGCGTAGGTGGTATTGCAGTGCCTCAAGCAAGTACTCTTCCTGTTCCAATGTCAGTGAAGAAGGAATAATAACAGGATTTTTTCCTTTCTCGACCTCCACTTTCAAAGTCATCAAATGCATCGTGATTATGATCAACTTGAAAGACATTAAAAGTTTCCTCCTCCTTACCTACTCGGAATGTCAGCTTGCCTCTCCTGACATCGATGAGTGCATCGCCAGTTGCTAGAAAAGGTCTACCAAGAATTAGAGGCACTCCCTGATCATCTTCCATCTCCAGAATTACAAAATCTATTGGGAGAATAAACTTCCCCACCTTCACCAATACATTCTCCACCACTCCTTTTGGAATTTTTACTGATCGATCAGCCAATTGGAGAGTGATCCGAGTAGGCTTAAAAACATCTCCCAATCCCAATTTCTTGTAGACTGAGTATGGCATCAAATTAATTCCTGCTCCAAGATCACAAAGTGATTTATTGAATTTTGTACCTCCAATGACACATGGAATGGTGAAGCTGCCCGGATCATCCCTCTTTTCTGGTAATTTATTCTGAATCACATCACTACATTCAGAAGTAAGGGTTACCTTCTCTAGATCAGCCCAATTGCGCTTCTTAGTCAGCAACTCCCTTAAGAATTTAGCATATGTAGGCATCTGTTAAAGTGCATGCGCCAATGGTATGTTTATATGAAGTTGCTTGAAGAGATTCACAAATTTGTTGAAGTTTGGGTCTTCCATGGGCTTCATTAACCTTTGAGGGAATGGCGCGGGAGGTTCATAAGGCTTTACCTCTTCATTCATGAATTTTTGCACTTTTGGAGGTGCACGGGCATAATGCTCATGCACAGGCAGATTGCATGCAGTCCTTTTTCAGATTTTGTTGACTTCCTCGAACTCCCTGGATCCTCCAAGGCCTTTCCACTCCTCAATGTGACAGCTACAACCATGGCGTCCTTCGGATTCCTCTCGGTATTTGCTGGTAAAGTCCCGAGAATCCTACCTTGAATATCTGCCAAAGTTTGAGCCATTTGGCCTATTTGGCTCTCCATAGCTAGCATAGATGATTGCATATTATTGTTGATGGCTAGCTGTTGAGTGACAAATTGATCAAGACCCTTGAAATTATTGTCTGTTTTCTGCATATGAGCCAAAATCAACTCCTCTAACTGGGGCTTCTTCTCTGGTTGAGGCTGCTGTTGAAAACCGGGAGGTGGGATGTTTCGGACACCAGCTGGATTATTATTTGACCATGACATATTGGGGTGATGTCTCCATTGAGGGTTATATGTGTTTGAATACATAACACCCTGGCCTTGACTTCGCGGATTATTCATATATTGGACATCTTCCAACTGAGCAGCTTCCAATGGACACATATCCCTATGATGAGCACCCTCGCAAAGTTCACATAAAGCAACCTCCTCTTGTCTTCCCAGAGCAATCTTGGCCAGCCTTCGTTCGAGTGCATCGAACTTAGAATCCGGCTTGGCATCTATCTTGGCTTCTAGACTCGCAACTCTGTTTATCTCATGCAAGCCTCCTCTTCTTCGAATATTGGTCTCACTACCCCATTCAGTGGCTTCTGAACATATCTTCTCTACTAGATCATATGCTGCTGGTGCCTCCATGCTTGTGAAACCATTTCTAGAAGCATTATTCAGGGCATCCCGGAACTCCCTTCTAATTCCATTGAAGAAAATAATGATCACGTTCCAATATTCAAGACCATGGCTTGGGCATCTCATCAATAGCCCCTTATAGCGCTCCCATGCCTCAGTCAGACTCTCATCATCAGCCTGCTTAAAAGTAACAATCTCTTCTTGCCTCTTCATTGCCAAGGCAGGTGGGAAGTATTTATCCAGAAAGACCTTCTCAAGCTGAGTCCATGTCGTGATGGAACGTGGTGTTAAGTTCTGAAACCATTGTGATGCATTCCCTATAAGAGAGAATGAGAACATCCGAAGACGAATTGCATCATCAGACACAGTTGGGCTCTTCATCGTATCACATATGCTCGCAAACCGGCGAAGATGCTCGTGAGGATCCTCACTGCTAGACCCTGAGAAAGTATACCCATTGGTGATCATATTGATGAATGCTGGGGTAATTTCCATGGTTGCATCCCCAGCTGGAATGACAACACATGAAGCTCGGGCTCCAGTCCTTCGATTCAAGCGAGCCCTGATCGAACGATCCTATTCCGCCATGATAACAGGCTCGATGATGCGAGGTGGTGGTGTCGGTGGTGTAGGGATGACAGGTGATGAAGCCTGTCCTCTCTGTCGACGACTATGGGTTAGGGAAGGCCTAGGAGTTGTGGTTGGCTGCTTCCCTAACTTGACCTGCTTCCTGTTCTGTCGGCAGGTCTTCTCGATCTCTAGATCTAGTGGCAGTAAATCGCCGGTCGTCCTCCTAGGCATGCACGAGGAGGATAAACCTGAAAATTCTTCTGCACACTAACACCCAGATCAAAATAGTTCACTCACAAAAATCAATAAAAATAAGGTATGGCTTTTGATCCCGTGGCGGCTGGGCTTTGAGCTGCCCGTGTCCCTCCATCAATTGGGCTTTAGCCCAATTACTTGTTGTGGAAGAAACATGGATCCAATTCCTCCCGCCATTTCCTGCTTCGGAAGTTCCAGTGCTGCCATTTTATCTATCTTTTCACCTAAACACACACCAAAACTCCAACACAAAATGGTAATGGCTTTTCAACCATTACGGATTAATTCTCCCTAAAATAGCACCAATCGGCTTAAACATACCATGAGATAGTCACATAAAGCTCACGAATTCGATATATTAAAGCCGATTATCAGGTATTTTCCAACATTCAGACCAATCCAAAACACCAACATTAGGAACTCGAGGATTGACACCCTCACTCAGATAATGGTCCAATTCAGAGCATAGTGAAGTTGTTTTGGGCCTTTTCCGGACTTAGATAAAGCTCAAAGCCAAGGTCGCTCGAGGTAGGAACATCAAGACCATTTCCAGAACCAGAGGAGGCAGAAAGATCATTCGTAGCCCTCTGTTTCAATTGATACTCACTGACCACATTATAAACAATGGCCTTAACAGTCTCGGGGTCAAGAGTAGAATCAAGGCTTTGAAACTTTTCATAATAGTACCCGATCAAATCAAGCTTGTATGCATGATCAAGAACAACAACCACAATAAGCAACACATGAATATCAGTCCAGTATGTGCTGAACTTGATCCACATTTTTCAGCCATTGCACTAATGATCTCATCAGGACCAAATCTCCACTCATTCACTTCGAATTTCAAGTAACAGATCTTTGGAAAGAACAAATTAGATGTAGGATAATTGCTTCGAGAAAATAGATGGGAAAGTTTTTTTTTTTTGAAAACCTTATGTTTTTTGGAGATAACAGTGGCAAACTTCCAATTAAGAATTGAACTGTAACGAAAGTTTGTTAATAATACCGTAACGAAAATTTTAAACAAAAAAATACATAAGTATGTATATACACATATTAAATTAAGAATTGAACTATAGATTAATAGTAAATGAGTGGCTTTGTTCAGCATGAGATGGAATCAACATTTTGGATATATAATTCTCACATTTTCTACTAGTGATACTCTAGTTATATTTAACGATGATGATTGGAGTGGATGTATGATGGTGGTGGGGATAAAATAGTTAGATTAGGACTTGGGGTGGAGGGAACCATTATGTACAAGAAAGGACATGCTATTAAAAGAGACCAATTGAGGCGGGAATAAGCCCATTTGGGCGACCGCGCCTCAATTCGGCTTATTCGCGCCTCGATTGGGTTTTAATGCTACTTTGAATCAAATTGGGGTGTGCTCGTCCCAATTTGCTTTTATAGATAGTAGATTTGGAAATATTTTCTCACATGCAGTATTTTGAACAATTTTTTTTTTAAACTACAATATTTTAGGAAAAACCCTATAAATACTAGCTTGTGCCCAGGCCCATTGTCCGGATACCCTTACATAGGTCGGTAATTAGATTAGGGGTGTCTTGATGAAAAAATTAGATTAGGGGTGGCAAAGGTCAGGTCCTGATCAGACCAATTGACCAAACGATGAAAATTACATTCTAATAATTAAAAATTTGGAATATCAAGAATTGGTCCATCATTTCAATTGGTCCGGTTTGATTTGATTCAAAATATTTTCATTTTTCAACATTAATAAAATTCATGAAATCAATGATCGGACCGCATTATATTCAATTCGATTAGTGCGATCCAAAAGATCGGTTTGAGCCGATGTCAATCAATCATTGCGCACCCCCAATTTAGATATCTTGGGTTAAATATTCTTCATACAATCTTAGTTCAAGAATATACCCGGTATATATACACCGTATTCTTTTTTTAGTTCAACATGAAATTGGTTGTCTCCTAAGCATCCACCATTTGCAAAGATAATAAGCAAAACAAACATAGCTGCATAATACTAAATATTTAGCCGAAAAAGAATACATTTGTTTGGTTGAATTAGAGCATATGGTTGGATTTGACAACCCTTACCTCCCTGATTTCTCACGAGTAACTCAACTCAATATGGAATAAGATCATTGGAATGTAAAGTCAACTAATGCACAATCAATTTCGATCAACCTGTAGAGTAGAGTGGTGTTATGACATTGTACAACAATAATCTTGACTCATTCCTTCGCATTTACTGCCATGCTTGCAATTCGTTGTGAACCATTCAAGCTCCAGTTCTTGGAATTCACTCTTATTTCTCAAGAACCTACAAATAAGAATCCAAATGCATCATAAACACATCATAAGGAATACTGAATTCAACGTGTTACCCCAGCTAAACACTTGACGACGGAGATTCTTGGAATTCACTCTTCTGTCTCAAGAACATATAGACAGGAACTCAAATGCAACATAAACACTTTATAAAGAATTCGGAATTGAACGCAAAACCTGAGTTAAACACTTTTTTCTAATGATGATCTCATTTTATTGAACCAAAATTTTAGAAAAGGACAAAGTAAATCATGAAACATAAGCAGGCACCCAAACATACAGGCCATAAAAGAAGACATAGGCGCTGGAGAGTGCAGGGTGCTCCTGTTCAAAACAAACCATCTTTTACGAATTAAAAATAATTATTTTTCTTGCTCCCATATAACTGCTCCCTAATAGTATGTGAATCGTAGGCAAACCATAAAAGAGCCAAACCAAGACAGATACAATTGTAGGGAAGTTACCTCTTTTTGCTGCAACTGCAGCTACTGCTCACTGCTATTTCGTGTTCATGGTTCCTTTTATCTAATCCCTTGTCAAACCACAAAAGGACAGTATTGTCAAGGTTCCTTACTCTGATATCTCATGTTCATGGTTGTTTTTTATCTAATCAATTGATGAATCACTTCATCTACAATATCAATAAATTTGGATCTAAATTCACTATCATATCTGAGCAGGCTTATTCGTTCAACTTTATGTCAATGACAACCCATATTCTCCATTCAAACAAAATCGCAGATTAATCACAATCTCTGCAGCCGTAGTAGAGCAACGAATTCGGACCTGCAAATGATGTGAGGGCAGCCTTCAGTCCTCTCCACGTACAATTTGCACTGCGGACATCGCCGTCACTCGTTGCTCTTGGCCATATCCATCACCGTGATATCTTCCCTGCCAGGCTCATCCTGCCCCAGCCCCTGGAACCCTTCGCAGAACAACCTGTGGCAGTAGGGGGACTACCACTCTCTTTCGTTGGAGAAATGCAGGAATCAAGCCTCCGATCGAGCAAGGGGAAGCAACGCACAAAGATACAAACGGATATTAGAGGAGAATTGTCGGCGGTGGGTTTTCAAGCGGAGCGCACGATTGGAGATGGAAGGTGTCAAGTCTGCCAGCTGTCTACCTTCCTAACACTCTCTCTCTCTCTCTCTCTCTCTCGTTACAGCGTTGCACGATTGCATCTTCGATATGAAGAGGGGAAGAAACGCAAACTGAAACCTCCGTTGACCGATTTCCAATTCCAGTTCTGTGAAATGCAGCAGGGAGAGACGAAGAAGACCGACAAATGGGCTTTCTAGTGAATTTAAGGCCCAGAGAACGGGCGGCTCTGGCTTAAGCACAATTAAAAACTTCCTCCGATAGTACTTCGCAAAACACACTTAGGCCAGAGAGTTTTGAATTGGATGAGCAACTTTACTTTTCAGCTATAATAAATAATATAGATGTTGTTATAAAACTAATGAAAATATAAACAACTACAAGAGAAGATTAGAGAGGAAAAGACACAAGAGAAGAGAGGGGAAGAGTTCTTCTTATTCATTCTTCACTTTTGATACAATGGTGTGCTATATTTATAGGCATACTTTGGTAACCACTACATCCTTATATCAATGTATATGAATGAGAGATAATAATGTAGAAATAGGGGTTACATGTAACTCCCAAGTGAGCATCTAATGTGGTAGGTCATTGGTCATCCATATATCAATATTTACATAATACTCCCCCTTGGATGACCACTAGATTGCATTACGCTATATCATACTGCCTCATTAAAAACCTTACCAGGAAAACCCATTGGGAAAAAACCATAGTTAAGGGAAAAAGAGTGCAGTGCGTATATGCTCCCCCTCATGACCACATCACTTCAGATTATTGAGTCGTTGAACTCAAATTTCACGAACAACTTTTAGAAAGATTGTTGTCGGGAGTGAGTTAGTGAACAATCTTCTAGATTGTCAATTTGATGCATGATCTTTAGATTTTCTTCATACATGATCATCAGGATCATTTAATTTAGAAATAGTTTACAACCACAGGTCCTTTAGATATGGTGAATCACAAAGTGTAACGAAATACATTCAGGACTTGCCTACTATAGTTTGTTTTGGATATCTATGAAACAATCACATCACCATATGTAAGAGATAGCTCGTCTCTGATCAACTAATATGAGGATCAAATGATATATATGATTTGGATATATAGTTTACCAAATCTCTCTTTGATAATACCATAATAGAACAATCGCATATATTGTTCGTGGAGGTAACAAAGTATCTTCCAACGTTCTAATGAGGAAAACATTGTATCTTGCCAATATTATCAACACCAAAATGATAGTTTATATGGTGCTTGGCTAGCAAGGTGCATTGGTGCTCTAATGCATCAACATATGGTACTTCAGGACCTAATGTTTCACTTCTTTCTTGATTTCTAAATGGATCTTAGGTCACTTCTAGTGATCTTAGGATCCTAATGTTATTTGATGAACACAATTCGTTCATGCAAAATTACTTTCCCACTTTTTCAACATTACCTTCCTTGCCCATAAAAAGGATCTTAAATCCTTCAATTTAACTTATGTCTCTAAGCAATCAACTGCTTTAGGAAGCTCTTCAGGAGATCCAATAATAGTCATATCATCAACATAATATGAGATCGTCACAAAAACAACTTAACTAACACAAATTGATGCAAGCAATTCTTTCATATAACGAAAGATAATAACAAAACTCACATCATAGAAACATATGAACTAGACAAAGCACAGTCATAAAACACAACTCATACTTTAAAGTAAAACACAACTCATAAACCAAGATTTAAAATCCTTGAAGCACATACAACAACACAACTATATATGCACAATGCAAATGCTCTAATGCACTCTATCCGGATTTAACCTTTTAAGGTCCATTCACCCCACTGTTGTAGGTGTTCACTTAGACGAGTATTTCACATTCGTCTATATTGTCTCAACCCACACAACGGATTTTCTTAGTCTATCTATATATGTTCTCGAGAACTTTACTTGTTTACTTCACGTAAATTAATCCTTCTGGGAGTTTCAAATATATTTAACATCTTCAGGGAATTCAAACAAATAGGCTATCACAACAATTTTCAAACATTGATTTGAAAAGGTAGTTGCATCCACCACAGGGGAGTATAACTCATCTTAAACAATGATAGGTCTCTTCGAGAAACCCATTGCAAAACATTATGCGATATCTCTCACAATTTCATACTTTCCAATAGCACAAAAATTTGTTTGTATCCCGCTAGTTTTGCCCTTTTTTAGGTGCAAGGACTTCTGGTCCTTAAACTCTATGCTCCTTGAGCAAGTTTCATGATTTCTTTCTATATTGGCCAATACCATCATCATTTGCATGTATCAATAGAGTTTTACTCTTGATCCTCACTTGTACATATCATATTCAGTACTGAAGTACAACAAACAAATTTCATAGACAATGATTTCATTACGGTTCTAGTATTGTAGTTTAATATGGTTTTGAGATCTCTTCGCTTTCACAACTTTCAGAGACATGTGTTCTTCTAGAACTAAAATTATATTTTATTCTTGGTTACTCTTCTTGAGTTTTCATGTCCTCGAGTTGACCATTCTAATTACAACTCCTTTTCTATCTCGAGGATGTTTATCATTGGAGCCGATTGGTCTATCATGCTTCATGCGCTCTTTCATACAAATTTTTTATATTAGAGTATCCAACAAGGATGTCAAATTTAGTTGGAGCATTCACAGCTAGTATATGTGACTTGGTCACTTCGTATGGCCAGTAAAGGCATTTGATAGTTGATAACGATAATTCATCTTATGAACTTCAGGTTCATGTTTCTTACCTTGAGGATCAAAACTAGATAATGATAACTCATTCCAACTCATCTCTTTGTCTAACTGTTTTTTTCTCTCCCCTTAATGTTGGAAAAGTGATTCATCAAAACAATAATTTCGCAAACAAATTTTCCATTTGGGATTCATACCCAACACAATTCTCAATTTCCAACGAGAATCAACTTAAGATACTATGGTGGAGCAATTGGGATGTATGCGGCACACCCTGATATTCTCATATGAGAAATGTTATATTTTTGACCAAAATCATTTGTAGGGGGAACTTATGATAACTTGTTGGTTAGATGTGAACCAATACTATCACTTGCCAGCTAGCATGTCCTCGACAAGAGATCAGAAGGCTTAGTTTGTTCTCTTAAGCAAAGTGATGTTTGATTGGATAATCATAAAAATGTATCCATAGTGAGGCAATCAATCTCGCAAACATCGGGTTGCGATTAGATAAAATAAAAGTGATCATATAAAATCTCAAGAGATTTGCCAACTCTTATACAAGCTCTGATTAATTGTTCTATTCTCCTTGAGAACAAACATGGCATAATAACTCTTTTAATTGAAGAGTTCTTTGACTTCTCATATGATGTTCTCATGAATTCTCAAAGAACTTTTTTCACATCAAGATCCGGGATGGTCTAACCGGACCAACCAATTATCAAGTTATCAAATCTTGTAAACTTCTGGTTTACACTTTTATGTGTACGGATTGTACTAATATACATGTAGTACATATTTGTGATGCAAATATTAGTTTCACTATTTTCTTGATAAGGTATTCATTTTACGAATATCCTTTTAATTGGGTAATGCATCATCATTAGGTAATTTGGTTCCTTCAGGCCACAAAATTAGCTCCTTTAAAGCTTTTTACCATATTTTGTACCATATTCCACCCTTCCGGGGACTTATGATTTGATGCATTCTTAGCAAACACATATTCATAGTGAATATCATCACAAATTATTATCTCGAGTACATAATTTAGTTACTTCAATTAACCAAACATAAGCTTTTCGGAAGCTTTTTCTCATTTATGTACTCTACCATATAGTTTATATGGAATTTTTCTAACAATCATACTTTACAAAAACATACTAAAATAATAAATGAGAATATTTCAAACTTAAGACAAAAATGATGAATTTATCAAGTTAATTGTTCTAGATAAAGGTTATCAAATTAAATTATGCATGAAAAATAACGTCACAATAAAACATAAAAGAAATAAGAATCATAATACTACAATTGTGAAAATTAAATAAGCCTTATTTGAAATAATACCATCACTAACTAGGTGATTTTAAAATTATATATGCGTTCCATTATGCATTTCAATGTACAACAGGTACATTATGTTATCATGACTTTGATAATGCAATTGTTATTTCATCTTATTTATAATTCTTCTCTTTTCTCACTTCTGGTGAAAATATCCAAACAATACATTTAGCATATATATAATCATGTTTATAGCTCCATTCATTTCGGGGAATAGATTGTTTCATTCACTTCTGGGAATGAAAATGTCTCAAGTGCAATATCATTTTCATCTTTAATGGAGAATATACCAACTTATAATACAAAAAATATGTTCCATAATATTGATATTGCAGGAGCGTATATGAATTTGCTCTTCCCTTTGATTCTTGGTAGAATAAAGTCTTTTGCGTACAACGGGTATGAGACAAGCACACTTTTCCATTACAATGGTAATATACAGAACAAATATTCTTGTTACCATGTCCACTTCTTTCTATCCCCTTGGATTCTTCAATTTCTACTTCTGGGGAATATATGGGCTCTTGGAACTTGCATTTTCTACATATCAATGTGGGATTGATAAGAACAGAATAACACGGAGAATTGAAAAATTAACTCATCACTTATATTACTTTTCTTGTTATTGCTACTACATGAGAAAATTTTAATTTGCGATAATGTCAAAACACCAATTTAATTTTAAGGAATCGATGTATGTATTGTAAAACACATAATAATATAAATCAAATTACACAACCCAAAATTTTAATTCAAATAGATGTACGAGATAAAATATCAATGGATGGTATACTATGAGAAAAGAGTAGCATCCATCTTAATATATTGGAATGAGATAATCTCACCACAAATAAGACAATAAGATAAGAAAGGATCTAAGAATTACATACCTTGATCATATTATGATCTTACTCCAATATACAAGATTGTGTAGAGAGACAATGACCAACCATGATGCTAGCAGAGTTTCGTGCTGATAACGTGTTATAAAACTAATGAAAATATAAACAACTACAAGAGAAGATTAGAGAGGAAAAGACACAAGAGAAGAGAGGGGAAGAGTTCTTCTTATTCATTCTTCACTTTTGATACAATGGTGTGCTATATTTATAGGTACACTTTGGTAACCACTACATCCTTATATCAATGTATATGAATGAGAGATAATAATGTAGAAATAGGGGTTACATGTAACTCCCAAGTGAGCATCTAATGTGGTAGGTCATTGGTCATCCATATATCAATATTTACATAATAGATGTAGATTTTTTTACCCCTCCTCCATATTGTAGTTTTTTTTAATATAATGGTGATAAAAGTTTCTTGTTTGTAATTAAGGTACTACTTAATGGGATTCGAATCTGAGACCTCCTGGTGCTAGGCTAGTGGTATTACCACTTGACCAAACCCTTGTTCGTCTCCATATTGTAGTTGTTGACTTGTTGTGCTTTGCTATCAATAAAAACGTGATAATACACTACCGGTTATCATGTCATAGCGTGAATCTGGCAAAATCATCCGCAATTATGGATATGGCCCCGAATCCGATCTAATTGGATATGGTAAAATTTGAATTCGACGATCTTTAGTGGGTACGGGTAAAACTCGAATTCGAATATTGCGGGTAATGGGTGGACATGATTTTCACACTATCCAACTCGAACATGCCCGATTATTTTTCTCAACATATTTTATATTTAGTATACATATATAATATTTTCATGAAATTATATTGTTTTTAATTAACTTTCTTCATTCTAGTGATTTATTGTCGTATTTTTTCTCATGTAATGTGAGTATACGTGTGAATGTTAACTTGTTGGTTGGAGTTATGAAGAGAAATTATTACCCATAGATAACTGTGAGTAGGGGTGGGCACGTGGGTGGTTAATTAACATATTGATATCGATCCACCCGCAAATAACCCGACCCGCACGCACTAGGTGATTCATGTGGGTGGATTGCGGATTGATAAATCTCCCACCCGCACTTATGTGGGTGGGTGGATGGATTGCGGGTCACCCGTATGACCCTATTTTTACACGAAAAAATGTTATTTCTTATAGTATAGAATATTCACATATTTTCGAACTGCAGTACAATCTGATCATATACATCAAAAGGTAGAGAATAAAGAATAGTTTTTACTAATATTATTGATTATTGTGTTGTGCAATATCCATTAGATATTAGATATTGGTATGCAAATAATTGTTAATATCCATTAAATATTGTGATGCAAACTATAAATTATTAATTGTATCATAATCACAAATTATTGATACAGTCTTACTAATTTGCTATGAACTTATTATAAATGTTAGTCAACTTTCTTACTGGCTAGTTGGAGAATTGCTTTGCGGGTTGACTCGCGACCCAACCGCACCCAGTTGCCACCCACCCAACCCAACCCGCAGAAGTATGTGGGTGGATTGCGGGTCACAATTATTCCAACTTGCTAGTAAGCGGGTGGATCAATTTATGACTAAAACCCACCCAGTCCGCCTATTGCTCACCCCTAACCGTGAGTACCCGAAATTAGAGCAAGTATGGGTAGGGGTGAACAAAACAACCCGCAAACCGACCCACCCGTCCAACCCGACCCGACCCAACCCACCCATATTTATCGTCAAAATTACAATTTAAGGTTGGGTGAAGATTTTTCTTTTGTACAACCCATCTCTATTGGGTTGGGTCCGGATTTTGGGTAACGCAACCCGTAGAACCCGACCCAACCCGTGTTTAACTATTGTAATAAGTATTCGTATACAACACATATTTGTGTCATAAATAAACATATTTGTGAGAAAATTAAGCTATATTATCATATTTTTCTCTTGTGATTTCTCTAGTCTAATACATTCTTCAACTTAATATTTAGACGTAGATTTAATATAAGCTATGATCCACGTAATCTTTTTTCTTGTGTGTACAATTTTAGAAGAAGAATATATTATGAATATGTTACCTTATAACTACTTTAGTTTACTTCGACAATTATTTATGAAAAAATAGACATATGTTGACATAAATTGCATTTCATTAAAATCCAAACAATATTTATGCATATTGAAACTTTTTGCCTCCATTTATTTGTTTAAAATCTTAATTAGTTATATAATATTTTCGTAGTGTATAATAGTTTCCTTTTTATGTTGGGTTATATATTTAATTAAAAGTATCTCCAATCCGACCCAACCCAATTATACACAAATCGTAGGGTTTTAATTTTTTATGGGTTGGGTTGGATTACATTTTCAAAACTGTAGTATATGGGTTGGGTGATTAAAATGACCAAACCCGAACCACCCGACCCATGTACACCCCTAAGTATGGGCATGATTTTGATTTCCACCAAATTCTTATGTGGGTATAAGTAAATATCTGAACTACTTTGCGTAGAATAACATATATGCACTATCTGGCATCTGCTGTAGACCTGTCCCGTTGTCATCAGCCCATCACTAGGGGAATCAAATATAGAGTACAATCATGTTGCTGGGAGTTTTTTTTAACAGTAATAATCATCTTTTATTCCAACACCAATACGAAGAAAACGATTACAAATCTCAAAGGAAATCAGAAATTAGGTCAAGAACACTAATCCAGTTAGCTGGGAGAGACGATCTAGCAAGAGATCGCGCAACCCAATCTGCTCTGACATTACAATTACGCGACACTGCTTTGACCTTGATTTGAGGGTTTGCTCGCAGGATTGAAACCATTGATCCAATCCCGGCTGCTCCTTGCCATGGCCAATTTCGAGAATCTTGATTAAGAGCTTTGACTAACGTCTGGCAGTCAGACTGGACAACACATTCCGTGCCATATTCTTGAGCCAATTTGAGACCTTCCAATAGAGCTTTTGTCTCGACTTCGAACGGGGTGGAACAAAGGAGGGTGTCAGCTCGCCCGTCACACACTTGTCCATGCTGGTTAATGACAACAACACCATATGCCGCCGGCTGGGAGTCGTTTAAGAACGACCCATCATAGTGAATCACAAAATTATGATTGCTTGGCGGTGGAGAAGTAAGTGGGTGGGCTCCCCTGAGCTGAGGAGAAGGAGGGGTGAGGGGGGGGGGGGGGGACCCTCGGACAAGTCGTCCATTCAGTAAAATCCTTGTATGTTCTCATAATTATATTTGGATGCCAAGGGATCCGATTCTTGAACACACATTCATTTCTTGCCTTCCAAATATTCCAACAAAGGAAGATAACATGGGTCATGGCTCCAGGGTGGATAACATCCTTGATAAAGTACAACCAGTCCAGGAAGGCAGTAGACTGAGCCGAAAAAGGGAGGGAAGGGAATATGGTCACACAGGAAAAGGCAGTGAAGAAGGGACTCAACGGGGCATTGGCACACTTGACACTTTGAGTTAGGAGAGCATTTCCTCTTAAAGAGTTTCTCTTTTGTAGCAAGACCATTCTTTGAGCAACTCCAAACGAAGAACTTAAGCTTTGGAGGGATATCAAGGTTCCACATCCATTTCCATTTTTCCACATTGCCCATCGTTTGGGCTTCCGTTGAAGATAAGTGCACCGCATGGTATGCCGTTTTAACAGTGAAGTGTCCGTTCTCATTTAATTTCCAAGCCCAGAAGTCCTTAGAATCCATCTCTCCTATGGGAATTCTCAAAATAGCGTCCATCTCAGAAGTAGACACCTGCCCTCGGACCAGATCATTATTCCACTTCCTCTCCTCCTGATCGATCCACGAACTGACTCGAATATGGTTTTGAGGACCACTCTGAATGGTTGCCTTAGGAAGGGATGGAACCCAAGGGTCCTGATCAATCCATGATTCATCTCCAGACCCAATCACTCTCACTGCTCCCAG